GACGGGGCAGCCAGTGACGGCGCCGATGCTGATCGCGCCGGCGACGATAATGGCGTCTTCGCGTCGGTGCTGAAGGTTTTGGAAAGAATTCTAAATGCGCGCGCGGCAGGCGCGCGAGAGTGGCCCGCATGCTACTATTTGACACGGGTCGTGCCACCCCAGCGCGCGCGCAAGGGCGTTCGAACGATTTCGACATGCGCGCGCGCGAAGCCGATTTGGTAGCATTTTATGAAAATGTTGAAACACGCATGGTTTTCTGAAGAATTCGCAAGAACACGCGCACGCTTTTGTTGAACATCAGTGTTGCGAAACCCTGTGTTTTGGTATGTTTTTGGGCACTCGATTTTGACATCCTGGCGAAATCGGGCGTTTCTGAAGGATTTCGGCATGCGGGCGCGACGACACGCGCGCGCGCATTTCGTCCCATTTGTTGCAGAGAATTCTCACGACGACACGCGCGGAAAGGGCGTTCGAACGATTTCGACATGCGCGCGCGCGAAGCCCGTTTGGTAGCATTCGGTGAACATGATGACACACCTACGGTTTTCTCAAGATTTCGCAAGAGCGCGCAAACAAGTTTTTTGTTGTTGTTGTTTTGTTTTGTATTGTTATATATATATATATATATGTCTCTCTAGATCGATAGATAGATAGATAGAAAAACCGTGTTGCGAAACCCTGTGTTTTTGTGTGTCCTTTGGACACTCAATTTTGAAATCCTTCCGAAACCGAGAGTTTCTGAAGGATTTGGGCATGCGCGCGCGACGACGCGCGCGTGCACTTCGCTTCATCTTCTGCAAGTGATTATTGAACATTTATGGTTTTTGATAAACGAATGTGCGCGCATCGTACTGATGGAAAAAGATGGCGGGGGGGGGGCGATACCGGCCCCCCTGGGATAGTGTAAACTCATGTCTCGAATGGACGATGGGGCAGGATCATATGTAAATTGCAATACGAAAGGGTGGATGGTTAAGTCCGGGGGGGGGGAGGGAGGTAGAACCTATCATTTCTAGACAGGAGAATCTATATTGTTCAACCTATATTGTGCGACAGGTGTGTTGCAACCAGTGGGGCAACCTATGTGTTGCAATATGCCTTGCTCAATCTATGTTGCGCAATCTATGCTGTGCAGTCTATGTTGCGCAAGTCGTTTCTGTTCGCAGTGACCTGTCAACCCCACTGCTCGCGCAATCATCCCGCCCGCAAGGGTAAAACCAAACGTGACCATTGAAAGGAGTGCTGACACTGCCCACCAACAGGCGCTGCACATTCTGAATCGCATAACGCAACTTGTACTGGAAAGGTTCACATTCACCACGCACGGAGCTTTACCGTAGAGAGTGCAGGCAGACCCGAGTATACGAGCAATGTCGCCCGACACCGCTGGAAACCAACGGCTGGGTGAACGGTTAGACAGGATCCACCCGAGCCTCACTGCCGAGCCACAATCCACCAACCAAGGCGTTAAGCAGTTTCACAACAGCCGCCTGCTTCAGGCCACGTAGCGAATCTGAAATCCGCTGCGTGCGCAATGACTAATGCTAATGGTGCACCTCCACAATTTCCACACCGAGCGAGCGCGAAACGAGAACTTGAAATAATAAGTTGCGAATTGACCAGACAAAAGGGACAAATCCCTCCAAGGAACACCACCATTGAAATACATTCAGGGACAGGGGGGGGCTTCCGCATGGGAAAGCCCGCCGGCACCCCACGCGCTCCGCCCCTGCGGTGGACCGCGCCGAAGATGCCCACGAAGGAGGAACAAACTTCCTTTGCCTGTATACAGGATCCCAGCTGAAGGATATCTGGAGGCCACGCAGTGGATACACGTGCGCAAGGCCAACGTGCCTGGCCAAACGAAGTTCGAGCGCTGGAAACGCATCCGGCCACATGCGTATCCAACTCTCGCCCAGGCCAGCAGTGTGACGTGCATCCAGCTTCCCTGGCGGGGTTCTACGTCGACGTCGCCCGCATCCGCGCAGGGGCACGCCGCCCAGGCAGAGAAACAGGCGGCGCGGAGCCTGGGAGAGGCAGGGGGGGGCCGAAGGGAGGAAGGGCGGGAAGACGGAGCATGGAGGAGCAGAAAGCGAATGGGAGCAAGGGTGAGGGAGGTAGCTTGAACATGAGAGGAAGGGAGACGGGAGCAGGGGGCGAGGGCGGAGCGGCGACATGAGGAGAGATGGCGATGGGAACTGAAAAAGGGAAAGCTCAATTGGCGCTCGGCCGGGTTCCCGCCTCCTCCCCCTCTCGCTCTGTCCTCGCTCCTCTCTCACTCTCCCTTCTCCTCGCCTAGCCCATCGAGATGTAGGCTACATGTTATCGGTGCTACCCTCACACGCCCCTCTGCCCCCAATCCTCCTGCTCATTATCCCCCCGTTCATGGATCACTGGTAAGTAGGAGTCGCAACTGTGGCAAGGCGTATTCAGTGCCCATGCGTACTGAGATAAAGGGGGCAACCGAAATTCTGAGTCGCCTCAGCAAGCTCTGTGCGCAAAACAGCAAGCAAGCACGCCATTAATCAGACATCTAGGCATGTAGGCAGAGAAGCAATCAAGCAGGTCATCGGGCAAGCAATCAGGCACGCAAGCAGATAATCCATCATGCAATCAAGTAGACACGCATTGACAAGTAAGTAAGGCCAGGGAAGCAGTCATGCAACCACGCGGAACACAATCAAGCGTGCAAGCTATAGGCAAGCGAGCCGGCGAGAACGCACGCAACGGAACACGCAAGCACGAAATAACGAATCAATGGATCGCGAGCGGACGCAAGCGAGCGCGAGCGATCATGAAAGCAAGCAAGCAGGCATGCAATCAACCAATCAAACAAGCATGCTGGCACAAGCACGTGAGCCAATCTTCATGCCCAAACATTCGAAAACAATCACGGCAAGTGAGCCCAACGGGCTTGTGGACTGGGTGGAAATCGGCCGATCGAACACCCAGTCGCTAGCCGATTAGACAACTAGAGGAGGGAAAGGACGATGACGAAGAGGGAAGATAAACACGAGGGAGAAGGAGGAGGATTAGGAGGGGTGATGAGGACGAGAAGATGGGAAGAAGGAGGAGAGGACACGGGAGGAGGATGGGGAAGAGGACGGGCAATGCGGACGAGGGAGGGAGGACGTGGGATAAGGAATGATGAGGAACGGGGGCGGAAACTCACATAAGTGCAACAACGGTACTCGCACTCTCGCCCGCAGGCGGGACCCTGGGCGTCGACCAGCCGAAGATGTCGAGCACTGCGCCGCCTCTTCCGTCTCCCCCTTCCCTCTGGGTCGCACGAGCACTTCGGTTTGGGGTCCCTCGCGCGCGGGACGCCAGCTGGGGAAACGCTGGTTGATTACATCCCAGCACAGGGGTGCGACCATATTCGATAAGGAGTCTCTGGGGGGAGAAGGGCAGGAAGAAGACCAGGATGAAGAGGAGGAGGAGGAGGAGGAGGAGGAGGAGGAGGAGGAGGAGGAGGAGGAGGAGGAGGAGGAGGAAGGGAGGAGGATTGAGGAAGGCGGAGTTGGAAGGATGGAGTGGGAGGAGGAGGTGGGAGGAGGAGGAGGAGGAGGAGGCGGAGGAGGAGCAATATTGAGAGGAGGAGAAGAAACAGACCCTCAACTGGTGCATGTCTTATTTGCAGGTGGTAATCCAGGTCCTCCTCCTCCCCACGGTCTCGACCGCCCTAGACTACGCAAAACACTAAGCCCTCGCCCAGAACGGACACGAGTCCTGCAACAGATGCCGATCGTACAACTGAGGAGCGATATGGACTGACCGTGCGCCAGAAAAGGGACGAACCCAAACCTCTGGTGGCTCGGACATGTTGGTCCTGATTTTGTCGGTCAACGTGCTCGTCGGGTTCTGGAGGGCGTTTCCGGGCCCTGGGATTAAGTCGGGCCTGTCCCTCTACAGGAGGAATGTTCGAACATAGTTTTAAAAATAGCATGGGGACGAGTTGTTGAGCATTTTTGCGGATATTGTTGTTTTTTTTTGGGGGGGGGGGGTTCTTAATTTTTTTTCATTCTTCGTCTAAAATCCCCCTGTAGGGGGACACGCCAGACTTGACCCTGGGACAATCAACCATCGACCTGGGATGCACATCTAGCCCTGGGAAAGGGGGTCGAGAGAACTGGGGGTCGGCGACTCGAACAGAGATCTGGCCGGCAGTGGTCTGGCTGGGAGCGAGCTCTCGATGTGCACCACGCGAAGTACGCCGCAATGCCATGGCATGCATCGCGGAACGACGCTTTTAGACAACAGCGTTGCTCCACGCCGGCGCACAGCGCTTCCATATCGAAAGTGATCAGGTCTTGACGCGTGTGAGTGCGTATGGGCTGATGCCGCGAAAAAGCCATCTCCAGGCTGACTATGCCAGCAGGCTCAAACTGGTGCCAGTCTGAAGGGCGGGGAGGTGGAACCTTCCCTGCACGGGCCACTCGCTGGCAGGCGGGCCGCTGGGAAACATGGGAAAACGCGTACGCTGAGCCGCAGCATGTGGGAAGAGTGTGGCTGGCTGCGCTCCTGCACTTGCAGGCCGAATTCAGAGATGCAGGGGGTGCTGCCTTTCCTGGCTCGCCCCTCGCGGACTGGATCAGTGGAAAGCCTGGCCTTACTCTGACCCTCAGTTCGCGGAATGAGGCCCCGAAGCCGTCGAGAACATCACCCCGCGATCCTCGCCCGGCGCTCCAGGTCCCAGGTCCTGCGTAACGCAGGCAGTGGGCCAGCGGCGCCCCCGCGAAAAACTATTGACGCAGCAATGGTCTCGCCCAGCGCTGGCGGCATGCCGTCAAAAAAACACCCAGATGGGCAAGCTGCCCCTGGATGGGGGTCGTGACAGCTGCGCGCGCGGCCGGGGCGACGAGAGGGGCTGGTCCCGAATGCTGGGCTGGCGGCTCCGCTGGACCCGCCCCCTCCACGTTTGCCCCCTCCCCTCTCTTCTCCTATGCCCTCGCCTCCTCGTCTTCCTCTCCACGCGGGGCCAAAGGCCAGGCCATCCCAAACTACTCCACGAGGGCGTGCCTGACTGAGACCGCAGGACCCGTGACCAGGACCTCCGCCTGGACTTCGTGGCCACCGACGAGCAGCGTGACCTCGCTGCCCGATTCCAACTCGGGCAACAAATCTTCTGCCCAGGCTTTGACCACGACCTTGCCTCTGGCCAGTGTCTTTTCGCCGCGCTGGCGGCTGCTCGAGGCATTGCTGCCGCTCGCGCCGCTGCTGGCCGCGGGCGCGCGGAGCCCGAGGGCCGCACAGCTCCAGGGATCCCTGGCCCACTCCGGGTCCCTGTCGTCCCTGGAGCCTGGCACGCAAGCTTCCTTGCACGCCGCCCACCACTCGTTCTTGACGTAGCACTGCATGCCTGCCGACTTGCAACACTGCACGCTTGCACAATTCTCATCGTATGTCTCTGCACACTCGGAGCGGTCGTCTGAGGAGCCTCCACCCGTGCCAGCAGGGGTCGGCTCGGCGCCGACGATTGTTGCGGGCTCAACGCTGATGGGGGCCACGGAGAAGTTGTGGAACGTGACCGTCTCACTGCACGCCTTGACGTCGTCCACGGCGCACGGGCCCTGTCCGTCGGCGCCCTTGCCGTCCATCCACAGCATGTCGTTCGCGCTCCAGTAGCTCACGATGGGCGTCATGCCGGCCTCGAGGGCGCGCGAGAGCTCGGCCATGCCGTCGTACGAGCCAAGGCGCACGGACACGTTGCACGGCTTGCCCTGCTGGGACAGCGTCACCTCCATGGCCACGAGCGAGCCTTTGCCGTCCACGGGGAACGCGGCCTCCACCTGGAAGGGGCGCGCCGTGTCTACGCACCTGGCGCCTGCGCCATACTCTGCGGAGCCCCAGTCCCTCGGGCCCGTCCAGCTGTCGCCCCCGCCGTAGCCCCCGCCCACCCCGCTCGCGTCGGTCGCGGTGTGGAGCGTGGAGTGCCAGGCCAGCTGGTTGGCCTCCTGGACGTCGATCTCGGCGCAGGACTCGCCGCAGACGTTGTTGGCGTCACAGTAGTGATCGGAGCACTGCGACGGTGCCGCGTTCTGGCGCATGGAGGTGAGGTAGAACGCCGCGTTGCAGCCGCAACCCGCTCCTGAGAGGTCAACGCTGTAGCTCAGCACCTTCCCCAGGAGATCGAGGGCAAGGTACTGCTTGTTGTCGTACTTCCCCGCCGTGCACTCGTCGGCGAAGTAGGCGCGCCCGTCCATGTGCGCCACGAGCTCCCCACGCCCGGTCACGTCCACGGGCTTGAGGCCCTCCGGGTCAGCCCAGCCGGTCGGGACGAGCTGCACCGACCCGTAGCCTGGCATGTCGAACTCGCCGGGGCAAGCGACGGCCGCGCGCGCCTTCGGCGCCGCCGCCGTCGACGCCACGGGCCCCGAAGAAGCATTGCTCTGCGAATGCATGACCCGCGGCGGGGGGACCGCGATGGGGGCCACGGAGAAGTTGTGGAACGTGACCGTCTCACTGCACGCCTTGACGTCGTCCACGGCGCACGGGCCCTGTCCGTCGGCGCCCTTGCCGTCCATCCACAGCATGTCGTTCGCGCTCCAGTAGCTCACGATGGGCGTCATGCCGGCCTCGAGGGCGCGCGAGAGCTCGGCCATGCCGTCGTACGAGCCAAGGCGCACGGACACGTTGCACGGCTTGCCCTGCTGGGACAGCGTCACCTCCATGGCCACGAGCGAGCCTTTGTCGTCCACGGGGAACGCGGCCTCCACCTGGAAGGGGCGCGCCGTGTCTACGCACCTGGCGCCTGCGCCATACTCTGCGGAGCCCCAGTCCCTCGGGCCCGTCCAGCTGTCGCCCCCGCCGTAGCCCCCGCCCACCCCGCTCGCGTCGGTCGCGGTGTGGAGCGTGGAGTGCCAGGCCAGCTGGTTGGCCTCCTGGACGTCGATCTCGGCGCAGGACTCGCCGCAGACGTTGTTGGCGTCACAGTAGTGATCGGAGCACTGCGACGGTGCCGCGTTCTGGCGCATGGAGGTGAGGTAGAACGCCGCGTTGCAGCCGCAACCCGCTCCTGAGAGGTCAACGCTGTAGCTCAGCACCTTCCCCAGGAGATCGAGGGCAAGGTACTGCTTGTTGTCGTACTTCCCCGCCGTGCACTCGTCGGCGAAGTAGGCGCGCCCGTCCATGTGCGCCACGAGCTCCCCACGCCCGGTCACGTCCACGGGCTTGAGGCCCTCCGGGTCAGCCCAGCCGGTCGGGACGAGCTGCACCGACCCGTAGCCTGGCATGTCGAACTCGCCGGGGCAAGCGACGGCCGCGCGCGCCTTCGGCGCCGCCGCCGTCGACGCCACGGGCCCCGAAGAAGCATTGCTCTGCGAATGCATGACCCGCGGCGGGGGGACCGCGATGGGGGCCACGGAGAAGTTGGTGGAACGTGACCGTCTCACTGCACGCCTTGACGTCGTCCACGGCGCACGGGCCCTGTCCGTCGGCGCCCTTGCCGTCCATCCACAGCATGTCGTTCGCGCTCCAGTAGCTCACGATGGGCGTCATGCCGGCCTCGAGGGCGCGCGAGAGCTCGGCCATGCCGTCGTACGAGCCAAGGCGCACGGACACGTTGCACGGCTTGCCCGGCTGGGACAGCGTCACCTCCATGGCCACGAGCGAGCCTTTGTCGTCCACGGGGAACGCGGCCTGCACCTGGAAGGGGCGCGCCGTGTCTACGCACCTGGCGCCTGCGCCATACTCTGCGGAGCCCCAGTCCCTCGGGCCCGTCCAGCTGTCGCCCCCGCCGTAGCCCCCGCCCACCCCGCTCGCGTCGGTCGCGGTGTGGAGCGTGGAGTGCCAGGCCAGCTGATTGGCCTCCTGGACGTCGATCTCGGCGCAGGACTCGCCGCAGACGTTGTTGGCGTCACAGTAGTGATCGGAGCACTGCGACGGTGCCGCGTTCTGGCGCATGGAGGTGAGGTAAAACGCCGCGTTGCAGCCGCAACCCGCTCCTGAGAGGTCAACGCTGTAGCTCAGCACCTTCCCCAGGAGATCGAGGGCAAGGTACTGCTTGTTGTCGTACTTCCCCGCCGTGCACTCGTCGGCGAAGTAGGCGCGCCCGTCCATGTGCGCCACGAGCTCCCCACGCCCGGTCACGTCCACGGGCTTGAGGCCCTCCGGGTCAGCCCAGCCGGTCGGGACGAGCTGCACCGAACCGTAGCCTGGCATGTCGAACTCGCCGGGGCAAGCGACGGCCGCGCGCGCCTTCGGCGCCGCCGCCGTCGACGCCACGGGCCCCGAAGAAGCATTGCTCTGCGAATGCATGACCCGCGGCGGGGGGACCGCGATGGGGGCCACGGAGAAGTTGTGGAACGTGACCGTCTCACTGCACGCCTTGACGTCGTCCACGGCGCACGGGCCCTGTCCGTCGGCGCCCTTGCCGTCCATCCACAGCATGTCGTTCGCGCTCCAGTAGCTCACGATGGGCGTCATGCCGGCCTCGAGGGCGCGCGAGAGCTCGGCCATGCCGTCGTACGAGCCAAGGCGCACGGACACGTTGCACGGCTTGCCCGGCTGGGACAGCGTCACCTCCATGGCCACGAGCGAGCCTTTGTCGTCCACGGGGAACGCGGCCTGCACCTGGAAGGGGCGCGCCGTGTCTACGCACCTGGCGCCTGCGCCATACTCTGCGGAGCCCCAGTCCCTCGGGCCCGTCCAGCTGTCGCCCCCGCCGTAGCCCCCGCCCACCCCGCTCGCGTCGGTCGCGGTGTGGAGCGTGGAGTGCCAGGCCAGCTGGTTGGCCTCCTGGACGTCGATCTCGGCGCAGGACTCGCCGCAGACGTTGTTGGCGTCACAGTAGTGATCGGAGCACTGCGACGGTGCCGCGTTCTGGCGCATGGAGGTGAGGTAAAACGCCGCGTTGCAGCCGCAACCCGCTCCTGAGAGGTCAACGCTGTAGCTCAGCACCTTCCCCAGGAGATCGAGGGCAAGGTACTGCTTGTTGTCGTACTTCCCCGCCGTGCACTCGTCGGCGAAGTAGGCGCGCCCGTCCATGCGCGCCACGAGCTCCCCACGCCCGGTCACGTCCACGGGCTTGAGGCCCTCCGGGTCAGCCCAGCCGGTCGGGACGAGCTGCACCGACCCGTAGCCTGGCATGTCGAACTCGCCGGGGCAAGCGACGGCCGCGCGCGCCTTCGGCGCCGCCGCCGTCGACGCCACGGGCCCCGAAGAAGCATTGCTCTGCGAATGCATGACCCGCGGCGGGGGGACCGCGATGGGGGCCACGGAGAAGTTGTGGAACGTGACCGTCTCACTGCACGCCTTGACGTCGTCCACGGCGCACGGGCCCTGTCCGTCGGCGCCCTTGCCGTCCATCCACAGCATGTCGTTCGCGCTCCAGTAGCTCACGATGGGCGTCATGCCGGCCTCGAGGGCGCGCGAGAGCTCGGCCATGCCGTCGTACGAGCCAAGGCGCACGGACACGTTGCACGGCTTGCCCTGCTGGGACAGCGTCACCTCCATGGCCACGAGCGAGCCTTTGTCGTCCACGGGGAACGCGGCCTCCACCTGGAAGGGGCGCGCCGTGTCTACGCACCTGGCGCCTGCGCCATACTCTGCGGAGCCCCAGTCCCTCGGGCCCGTCCAGCTGTCGCCCCCGCCGTAGCCCCCGCCCACCCCGCTCGCGTCGGTCGCGGTGTGGAGCGTGGAGTGCCAGGCCAGCTGGTTGGCCTCCTGGACGTCGATCTCGGCGCAGGACTCGCCGCAGACGTTGTTGGCGTCACAGTAGTGATCGGAGCACTGCGACGGTGCCGCGTTCTGGCGCATGGAGGTGAGGTAGAACGCCGCGTTGCAGCCGCAACCCGCTCCTGAGAGGTCAACGCTGTAGCTCAGCACCTTCCCCAGGAGATCGAGGGCAAGGTACTGCTTGTTGTCGTACTTCCCCGCCGTGCACTCGTCGGCGAAGTAAGCACGAGCATCCATGTGAGCGACCAACGTACCTCCTCTGGCCACGTCCACAGGGACAAAATTGCTGCCAACCCATCCAGTGGGAACGAGCTGCACTTTGCCGTAACCAAGCATGTCAAACTCCCCTGGGCACTCGGGACTGGCGCTGTGTCCTCCAAAAGTGAGGCAGGCGCAACACACGCCCAAAAAGGTCGTGGGCGACAGCTGTGCACGCATCGTTTCTATCCTGTGCTTGCGCGTGATTAGCACAAGGGCGAACTGCGTGGAACCAATTGCTGCCAAACTGATCTAAACCAACCGACGGCTACGTACGGGGAAGGGGTGAGAAGAGAAGGACGATGGCCTCTGGAGTTCTCTGGAGGTCCCTGGGCGCTTCCAGAGCTCCCCAGAAGCCGTTGGAGGCCTCCAGGGGCCTCCCCAAACCCAGAATGTGTGCAACGCTGTCAAGGACCCTCCTCCGCCTCCTCCTTCCCCCCCCAAGGGGCAAGACGCCGAGAAGGTCGATGATGAGGGCGACGAGGAGAAGTAACAATAACACTAAATCCTCAACTGCCTTAAGTCGTGCCGCGCGCACACGCGCCGACCCAGCCAGAACATGCAGTCTGTCCGGGGTACCGAGCACTTTGCGAACCATCTTCTGCAATGCGTCGGCGGCGCGACGGCAACATGTCACGCACTCTGGGAAACGAACCAGTTGCATTGGCTGGCTTCGCCTTGACCCGAATCGTTGGCTGGATTCCCCAAGGCGGTTTCGCCGCGTTGCCGCCGGTGGGCGCCTCGAGGGCGCTCCGCGCGCTGGGTGGGCCCGCCGAAGTTTCGCCACGCTGCCGCCCTTGGGCGCCTGGTGGGCGCACCATGCGTACACTGCATGGCGCAAGCCATTGGTTGCACCACGTAGCCTGCGCCTCGTAGGTCGCACCAGACCATGTCGGTATCGTCCCCATCCATCTTTGTCAATGATGCCATGCGCACGCAGTCGTTGATCTCAATCCATATCGGTTTTCACACAATCGTCGTCCACTGAGCGCGCGCGCACATGCCAAACTCACACCAAACACGTGATTTCCCCGAACGTTGCAGCATGAACAAACAACGGACGCACTTCGGTTTCCCACAACGAATATCGTACACGTCCTGCCCGCGCGCCCCCAATGAAATCATACGAGAATCGCTGGTCCAGAACCCACATTCTCATCCCACCACGCGGTGCACCGGCGTTGATCCAGCACGCGCCCAATGCACAAATCCGTATCAGATAACACCATGCGGGCCACGCGCTCGCGCCGCTATGCGCGCGTGTCGAGATTCTTGCAACACCAATGGTGTTGGACGGGTTTCAAGTCGTAGCGACCCAGAGACATATGGACACACACACACCACAATTTGTCAATGCCAGGTTTCTGAAATTTCTGCGCGCGCGCTTCATCACCATCGCCCTCGTCGCCGCCATCGCATCACCACCGTCATCGCCATCGTCAATCGCCGCCAGTGCCGCCATCATCATCGTCATCATCTTCATCATCCTCATCAACAACATTATCATCATAATCACCTTCATCCCCGACGCGTGGGCATCATCATCGTCGTCATCACCAGCATTGGCGCCCTCATTGGCTTTGCCGTCGTCGTCGTCGTCGCCACCATCGTCACAATCATCGCTACTATCATCACCATCATCATTGCCGCCGTTGTCGATGTCATTATGCTACCGCGCCCGCGCGAATCACCGACCCGCACTGGCATGCCCGCGCGCCACCGCGGCCTTTGAGACGCACTTGGGGGGGGGGAGGGGGGGCGCCATCGGTAAGCGCCATCGCGGCCGCATCGGCTGTGCCAAACTAGTTGGTCGCCCTGCGCGAGATCGTTCGCGCGCCGGCGCGGCCGCGCAGATGCGCTAGCAAGTGCCAGTTGGTAACCGCAATCGTGGCCGCATGGCTCTTGCCAGACAAGTTGCGGGTGGGAGGGTGGAGTGATTGCGCGAGCATTAGAGTTGACGACTCATTAGTTGGCGCGAACTGAGCTACGATGCGTATGTTTTAAGGCAGGAACAATGTGTCTCGATGGCTGCAACTGTCCAACACTTGCAGGAAATGACGGGCCATCACAACCAGACTTCAAACATGTCGGTCTTCAGAGCAATATAACTCCCACCGCGTTAGAACAGCAGGTGGCGAGCTGGGTGGGCGAGGCGGGGGCCTTTGAACCCCACGACAAAGGACAATCAGAGAACAGGGCAGCAGGAAGGACAGTGGAAACTGCTCTGCACCCCTGGTCGACTGGCGACCTCGCCAGTACCTCGTTTGCGCAGAGGTAGGACGATGCAGGTCGTCTCGCGAGCGACTGTGCTAGTTATTTGTAACTCAAGCCAGCAGCACGATGTCGTGAGGACTGCAGCTGCCGTGCGTTCTCATGAGATCAAAGACCCAAGAACTGGACTTCTAACGCACCGCCCTTCAATTCAATCGAATCCCCGAGCTGTCGACATGTTATATGGAGCCAGGGGGGGGCCAACGCGCAGCGCAAAAATCGTGAATGGTCACGAACGGCCAGGGCATTCTTGAAATGAATGGCCAGGAGCTTGCAGAAGAGGGGGCGAAAAAAAGGCTCAGGAGTGTGAACTCGGACTGCGCATTTCAACATGTCAAACAATTCGACGCGTGGCAGGCCAGTCCTCGACTAACTCAACGAAGGAAGCGCATCAGGGCGTTGCCTGCGTTGACCTTCTGCTGGTCCACCGCCGACGTCTCAGGGCGCCCCATCGGTGTTGCCGCTCCGAAGGTGACGAAATCCATCGGGGCGATCCCGGTCTCTGGAGAAACTCCAGCAGGGCGTCCTAAACCACGCGGCGACCATCTGGGAACCCACGGTCCAACCGCGTATCTTCTCCAGGACATGCGAGAAGGTGGCGCCGTGCGCATCGCTGTGCTTGGGGTCGAACTCGATGGTGGGTGCACTGGTCTGCTGTCTCCAAGCTTGAAGATCATTGCCACTACCCGAAAATATTTCGATGGGGAAGGACTCACAAACGAGAAGACTCGGACATGATGCTGCCAATCTGGTCGGCGCAACGGGCAGCTGCAGGTCGGATGCGGGTTCGAGCAATTGGAACTGCTCGGTGCGGCGACCGGCCTTCTGGTACCTTCTCATCGAGTTCGCCGATGCCCAGTTCCCGCGATGCTGGATCTCGACTAGGGTCCGCCGCCCAGCGCGCGGTCGAGGCTGGCCCCGACGTGGCGGAGCCTGTGGGGCGTGGGCGGCCCGAGCACCTCCAGCCCTGGCCCCGGCCCCGCTTGCCGATGGGTCCGCGCCCAGGTCTGGTAGCCGAAGCTGAACAGCTTGGCTGCGGACCTGGTCTGGCACCAGCGCGGCCTGCTGAGCGCGGGCCCGGAGAACGGGTGCTCGTCTAAATCCAAGATGCGGGAGTCGTCCCAGCAAATGGTCTTGGGCGGTCGCCCGAGCTTTCGGGGGTGCAGGATGAGGGCCCGGCGGCGGTGATTGGGGCGCCCCTCGGGCAGCGGCGGGGTCGGCCAGCGAATGTGAGGACTCAGCGACTCGCCTGGGCTGAGGTAGAATATCTTGCACGCGACCACTGTAGCGGCTATCTCCCGCTGATTTCGTTAAACCCGGCGATGAGAGATGATGCGCGCCACTTCCCGGGGCGTCTGAAACCGGGGCTGGCCTAGCGCCTTCGGGCGCCATCTCGCGGCGCCTGCCTGGTCCGCGCCAGCCGACTGCCTCTGTCGCAGCAGCTTGGGGCGGAGGCAACAGATCGCGCTGGCAAACCGACTGCCCAGGCTGGGGTTGGCGCCCTCGAAATGGCGAGAATCGAAATAATCCAGGACGGCCGTCTCCAGCTCCCCCTGTGTCTCGGTCGGGAAGTGTTTGGTCGCGAGCCCAGCCGGCGAACAATTCCCAGCTGGCCTGGTGCATGGCTCGAGCCCTCGGCCTGGCGCCCTCGGCCTGCAGGAAGCTCGGGCCCTCCGTCGGCTCTGGCGACGCTGCCCAGCGGCTCCGTGCAGACGTCCTTGCAGCAACCGGCCGCGCGCTGCTCCTCCGCGTGCGTGTCGACGGGGCCGGGGGCGGCGTCGCCCCTGCCGGGGCCCGCGGCTGGGGGGCGCCAGCGCGCGCCGACCTCGCTGCGGGCTTCGCGGTCGCCCTGCGCGCCAGCGCCTGCCCCCCGCGGGCCGCCGGGCTCGGGCCCGCGACCGATGCGTCGCCGCGAGGGGGGGTCCGTTGAGTTGAGCTCGCTCTATGTCCAGCGCGCCGCGGCAGGACGGCCGGGCGCCGACAGAGCGGCGGCCCATCCCCGCGCCGCTTGCGCGCCAGAGGCCGAGGCCCCCCCATTATGGAAACCAGGCCAACGTGGCGGGCTTTGAATCGGGCGGGGAGACGCCTCTGACCCCGACACCTGCTCTTGCACAGCTGGCGTCGGAGTCCCCGCAACGAGGATCGGGTCTCCAAGATTAGCGTGCCTGCTGGACATCTCCAAGGGCGAGAACAGACCGCGATCCAGACCCTGTCCGAGCCTCTCGGGGGCGAGCGGCACCCCTCCCCCAGCCCCCAGGGATCCATTCCGCTTCGCTGCCCCCGGCGGCGTCCAGCTTGGCGCGCAGCTCGCGAAGTCCTTGGTCGACGCGGGGCTGGGCCCTCCTGTCCCGCCGGGGGCCTGCTCGCTGGCCGTGGTGATCCCCTCCTGGAAACGCCACCTCTCCGAACATTTCCTGGCCTGGTATACCCCCCTTGCCCCCCTCCGCGACGGTGGCCCCGCGCGGCCTGCCCGGCGCGTCAGTCGACGCGGCCGCCGGGCAGGCGCAAACAAACTAGGTGGGAGGCCTACCAGGGTTCTTTTCGCACGCTGTCCCAGACATGGTACTCGTGCATGCCGATGCTTGGCGATGAAAAGGCATCGGCGGCATTGAAGCATGTCGGCAGCTCGCGCCGCGTCATGCATGCGCGCCTGCAGTGTTTCACCAGAACCGCCCGGCCTGTCCCAGATATGATTGGGCGCTTCTGGGTATGCTGCGTGGCTGAGCGGGCCCTCCGCGTGCGAAGCTCTATTGCACGCGCTACTGGCCGTTTGCTAAAGTGAGATCACCCGGCGGCCTCCCCTTCCAGGGCCAGCTTTTGCGGGGTGAGCGCGCGGCCCGGCGTTGCGCGGCTCTTATCGGCCGCCCCCGCGGCTGCGGCTTGGGCCCCCCGGGGACTTGCGACAGGTC